GCCCTAGTCCCTGTGGTCCCTGGAGCTGCCCTGTCCTGCAGCTCCTGTACTAACTCTGGGCACTGTCAGAGCTTCCTTCCAATAGACAGACTCCTTCTTTGGCTTAAGCTAGTGTGAGTTGGGTCTCTGTCACTTACAATCTCAGAGCCTTGACTAACAACCACCCACCTCCTGCCCATGCCTAGCACCGGGGAGGCCCCCTGAGGCAGCACAGTACCTGGCTCTGAACTCATGAATAAATGATAGCCAAGACTAGGGGTTGAGGCCAGCTGAGGCTCAAGGAAGCCCCTTCCACCCTTCCAGAATGTGCAAACCTGCTCCCACTTCAGTCCAACCAAGAGATATTAAAGGAGAAACTAAGGAACACAATGCTCAGTGGAGATGCTCAGACAGAAGGGTTTCTCTAAAAGAACGGAGCATATGGTCCAAGGGAATTTGGTTGTTCCTCAGACTGCCCACCCTCAGCCACCCAACCCTAGGTCTTCTCTCCACACTCCTACTCCCCAGCCAGGATCCAGAAAGAGAGAGGCAGTGGTAAGACAAGCTCTTGGGCAGCAGGGGAAAGGTGGGAGATCCCACAACTTAGTGGCTTAGGACTATTACACATCTAGAATCCAGGGTGTGTCCTGAGTGAGGCTGGCACCCCTCTAGTTCCAGGAGCAGGATGGAGCCCATAAGTCAGATGGGTAGCCAGACACCCTGCCATCCGTGGAAAGGGCTCTCTACCTGGGACCCAGTTCAGGCCTCACACTCAGAGAATAAAAATGTTTACTTTCCTGGGAACTATGCATTGTGGACAGCACAGCTTTCAGCCTCATCTGAATCTGATTCTAGGAAGCTATTTACACCTGAGAGCATTATAGATAACGAATGGCAATGCAAAATTCTTGTCTATAGATATGTAATTTCTGTCTTCCCTTCCACCTGGGAAAAAGCCAATATTGTCTCTATTTACACATTCATTTCAACATTTCTGATCTATAAATGTTTCTGTTCTTTGGGGTCTATTTTGAATGGGTTACAACATCCACCTGCTTCCCTCATTGATTAGCGAGTAGGGCAAAATCTTTAACACACACCCATTTTTATTTCTGTATGAGAGTCATGATTTTACCTTTTCCTGAAAATTACCTTTTAGCAAACTAAAGGACTCTAGTGCTGTGAACTGGGCCCAGCTCACACTCTTAGGGTGTTCAGCCCCAGCTTTGGACCCAGGGCCCAGGCTCCCGGCACCCAAGGCCTCTTTACCCCCTTCCCATCTCCTGCTTCTCCACCTGCTGACTCCTGGGGCCAACCTGGCTTTCCCACTAATGAGATGAGTGTTCAGCTGTGTGGTCAGCTGTGCAGTCTTCTGTTGGGCCGGCTATTTATAGAGCCTGGGTGGGTGGTCAAATGTTCCATTGAGGTGGGTGTGTTCATAGCTGGTCATCCTCGCTGTCTCTCTTTCTGAACAGCCCCACATGGTAGCCTTTGCTCTTTGAGCTCCAAACCACATGCTACGTAAGGGATAAAAGAATTAATGTCCAAACAAAGAGGTGGAAGAGAGCAGACTTTCTGGCAGCCCCTCCTGTCCCTGTGGCTCCTGTAATTGGATCTGATTTCTCCTCCTGCCCTCTCCTTCATTCTGGCATTGCAGACAGAAATCTGCTGCCTTCCTCTTTTCGTATCTCGGGGGAAACTGGCTGGCTCCCTGCTTTTCCCAAAGACACCATTCACTTCCGTATTTACAGATCACCTCTCAGGTGTTGGGCAATGTGCTGTGTGCTGTCAGGGCTCAAAAAAGTAGAAGACAAAGTCCCCACCCTCAAGGACCTGACCTTCAGAGACTCAGATAAAGAACCACTTATATACACATACTAAGACAAATAATATGGCCAGAAGAACCACAGAACACATTAATGAAGTACTCACTATGTGCTAAATACTTTATACATATTAAACCTTCACAACAAACCCAAAAGCAGATACTATTATGAAAAAATGGAGGCTCTCAGGGGTTAAATATTATTGGGTCATCGGGAAAGTCATGACATATTTTTCTGTTTTTCAATGCAAAAATACATCATGACTTTCCCGACGACCCAATATACCAGACACAAACTGGGGTGTCTGGCCAGCTCAGAACAATTTCTCCAGCGGCCATGCCTGTGTTCCAGTCCCTCTCTTCCTTTGGGAAACTCTACCTCCTTCTCTAACACATAGTGATTGGTCCAAATGATAGTCATGTGACCCAAAGTCAGGCCAATCAGAGTCCCGCCCCAGGAATTTTTTAACTGGGAACTAGAAGAGAAACTTCTTTTGTCTCTGGCCACAGAGCTATGGGGATAGGAGTCGGCCTCATGCTGCTAATGTCCAGAATCTGTCTTGTAGAAAAGTTGGTCAGAGAGAATTAGGATGTCACAGAGAGAAGGGAACCTAAAAACAGAGTCCATGTTAGCGTCTAGTACCAACTGCTCTTGCAACCAGTTCCATCCCATCCTTCTCAGTTTGGCCCGTCAGCCTTTGGATGAAAAGGGGTTCTACGAAAAGTAACCTCACAGGAGGATCTGATCATAAATTCTAACTGGGCAGGTCATGGTGGGTAGTCACGCCCCAGGCACATAACTTTTTTAGTAAAAGGTTTATCTTGGTCTTAAGCAAGCCCTGTCCATTTTTTCTTATGCATCTAGTTAAAAACCCCTTTGAAATAAAAGTATCCACCCTCAAACAGCGCATAATCTTGTTATCTATCCTATAATCCAATTCCGCCTTGCTTTCTCCCACCTTCATATAATCTTCTTTAGGTCCCTCCTTAATTTCAAATGCATAAAAGAAACTTCAAAACTGTCATTCTCTGGAGCATTTTAGATCTTGCTTCCTGGCAATTGTCATCAGTTTGCCTCAAATAAAATCTTATAAAAATTCTTTATAGGTTTGGACATTTCTTATGTCAAAAAGGCAATAAATTACCCTGTTTTTATTAATGTAGTTTGAGTTGATTTTCCATCATTTGCAATTTGGAGTCCTCAGCAATACAGGTCCCTTGCGTAAAGTCACACAGCTAACAAGAGGCTGGCTGTGTGCCCTTCTGGCAAGCCACATTGCCTACATGTGGCAGGATTATGGACCTCAGACAGCACAGGCAGCGTAGCTCTGTTTTATTATCCTACAAATGTTTCTAGGGTGAGTGGCAGGACCATGGAGCTGACACTTCTGCACATCAACAGTTGAGTTCCCAGAAAAATGTTACCAGTCCTCTCCTGAAAGTCACATCATTACTGCCACCAATCCCCTACTGAGAGCTTATGCTATGCCAGGTACCATGCTATGTGCTATTTAGATCCTCCCCAAAACCTTGTAAGTATTGTTAACACTGTTTTAAAAGCAGGGAAAGAGACATTCGGGAGGGGACACTTGCCCCCAAGTTCAAAAAACAGAAAAGAAGGGCCAGAGCCAGACAGTGTGAGCCCAAAACCATGCTCTTAGCCAATTCACTAGTGTTTTTCTCCATGCAGTATTGTGATCAGTGGCATGTCCATCACAGCCTACAAGAGCTGTCCATGTTAGGCTGGGTGTAAGGCGATTCCATCCCAGCCCTGGCCCACCTCCAGTCACCTTTCGGCCAGCACGGGAATTCAGCCAGCCAACCTCCTCACCGGCCTCAGGTCAGAGGATTCTAACCTTAAGGCCAGTGTAGGCCCACACAAAGGCTGGAAACTTTGGCCTTCAAAAGAGGCCACGTTCTTCAGGACACACCCTGTATGTACATCTTCCTTCTCAGTTCTTGTGTTCCCGATGACCATTTATGATGGGCCATTAAGTTGGGTCCCCTGCAGACTCAGAGGCCCTGTTGTCGCCTGTTGATGTGGTAGTTGCCCACATTCCACTCCTTGCCTCCTCCTGCCCGGACTCCACAGCGCCTCAGCATGCTGAGCTGGGCCTGACCCCAATGAGTCACCCCCTCTACCCAGCTTTACAGGGACGTCCTGCCCACATTCCCCAGCATCTGACTGTGGCCTGTACGATTTCCACCCTAGGTCCTACTCACACCTAGACTGCTCCCATCCTTCCCAGAGCCACAGCTGCAGGCCCCTGGGACAAAGGCCTCTTGCCAGAAGAGAAACAGTGCAGGGCCCACCTCTGACATGTGCATTTAACCCCCTCCCCTTTCTGGTCTAATCATCTCTGCCCCTTTATCTGAGAGGTGTCCACCTGTAGCCCACAGGCCAAATCTGGCATGTAGATATGTTCTGTTCAGCCTTCACAGTGGTTTTTTTGCTTTTTGTTGTTTTTGTTTGTTTGGGGTTTTTTTTTAGCATTTAAAAATTGGCAGCTTCACTTAGATAGCTGGATTTAAATTTTCCATAAAAGGTTTTTTTAAAAATACAAACAACTGTATTTTTTATTTTTCTTGTAATACTGGCCTTTCTGTGACAAGGGCCCTCTATCTCACCAGTAGCAGCTGAATGGCTGCCACACACTTTGGACAGGTAGGGCATAGCTCTGTGTTTCACCAGTCTCAAATTTGCCAGTGACCCTCATTTTCCCTGCCTGTCAGGTTTCTGTGAACACCGGAGGCCCACACTAGGAGCCAGGGACTGCCCCCTCAGCAGATTGACAGCACTTGGCCAGGCTCCCAGCCTGGGACTGTGCATTTTCTCCACATGTGAGGTCTCAATCAAGTCCCAGCCATGCCTGACCTAGGCTCTGAATGTGTCCAAGCCCAGAACCCACTGTCCGAGGGCTCCAGCTTGCCAGGGGCTAATGCAGATTGCCTGCAAGCACCCCAGCACAGGCATGCACAGCTGAGGCGAGGCTGCAGTCTGGGACAGATATCAGGCGAGCTCAGGCACATGTCACCAGAGAGCCTGCTGTCCATCGGTACTAAAGAGCAAATAGATTCCCCCGAATCCACCCAGAAAACACCAGGCCCGAGAGAAACCATGCATTCAGACCAATCCTGGTGGTCCCAGCCCACCCCCTGCCCAACACACCCAGTCCCAGGACTTGGGGACACTCACAATGTTCATGAGGGTGAGGACGTAGTTCTGCACATGCTCCTTGCCATGGAAGCGTACCACTGAGTCGTCCACCACCAGAAGCACCTCGATGCTGTAGCTGCCGGGTTTGGCGTGTCGCCGTTTCCGCTCCGTGTCACCCAGCTGGTCTCCCACCAGGCCTAGCAGGTTGGGAAAGTCACCCAGGCCAAAGGCTGGAACCAGGATGGGAAGAGACTGAGATCAAATCCACAAAGGGGCTGTCCCTGTGACGCTGCAGTCAACCCACCCTGCCCCCTGTCACATGTGCCCCTTCTCCTGCTTCTGTAAGCCAAGGTAGCGTGAGGGTTTGTTCCATGCCAGGTGGTCCATGAGTATGAGTCCTCTTCCTGGCACAAGGGCACGGCTAAGTCTGTGAGGCAACGAGTAGCAGAGAAGAGAGAACTGGCCTGGATTCTAGTTCCCACTCGGTCCCGTCTCACTGCGCGTCCTGGCCCAAGCCCCGTGACTTCTCTGGGCTCCCCTCTTCCCTCCTATGACATGAGGATGAATAATCCTTGATATCTTGCCTCACAAACTTGCTATAAAAACAAAAGGCAGGGCAGTGGGTGGAAACACCTTGATAAAGGAAAAAACTGTGATATTCCTGTGGCCTATCCAGGACATTTTAGGCACCCCTGAAGTAGGCACCCCAGGCCTCTCAAGTCCCTCCTGATCACCGCCATCGACCCAAAATTTCACCATCACTGCGTCGGCCTTTTGTCTAAAAGCAAAATATTTATCTAACTAGAATTTATTAACTTAGATTATGTAACGTAGGAGTTGTCAAACTTTTTCTGTGAAAGACCAGGCAGTAAGTATGTTAGGCTATGTGGGTTATATGGTCTCTGCCTTAGCTATTCAGTTTGGCTGCTGAAGCATAAAAGTAGCCACAGACAATATATACACAAATAAGTGTGTGTATCTGTGTTCGAATAAAACTTTATTGACAAAAACAAGTGGTGGGCCATATTTGGTACATAGACCTTCATTTGCTGACTTCTCATCTCATCTCATCTAATCTAATCCAATCTAATCTAATCTAAACTAACCCAAGCCTTACAACAATTTATCAGGTTATTGGCCTCATACAGGTGAGCTGAGGTTCAAAGTAGCTTGTCCAGGTTTGTCTGAATCAAAAGACCATGCTTTGAAACATCACCATCTACACTGTGCTTAGAAAGGTACCCCTTTAAGCAGTTATCAGTCATTTACACATAGCCTGCCATTCATTACATAGCCTGAAAGAAGACTGAAGCAACATTTGTAGGGGCAGTGGCGTGAGGGTGCGTGAGGACACTGAAGGGAAAGCTAAGAAAGCCAGATAGGAGGCTGGGAACTCTCAAAAAAAGTTTCAAAGCCTTAAATGACTTTCCTGCCATCCTACCCTGAAGTTCTGATAGTTGTACCATTGATTTCTATGAGCATTAAGTTATTCACTGTTATTTGAGAACGCCCCCGCCCCCATCCCCCACCCAGAGAGGAGGCCAGGAGCTGAAGCTGTAAAGAGGCGGCCATTACAACCCAAGAATGGCTGCAGAAAGGGATCCCATACTTATGAGTGGGTGGTGGGTGGGTGATTAAGGCAGGGCCCTGCCCTCAAGCCCACCACCTGATGCAGGTGACAGATAAAAATATCAGACTGTAACAATACAGTAGTGTAGTAATGTCAAGGGCTAAGGAGACTGATTAGGAAAGGCTTCTACCCTAAGACCCAAACCAGGGCCAAGGAGTTGGTGGAGGGGTGGGGGTGGGGGGGCTTGTGGAGGAGAGGACATCTAGGCTGGGCCGGACAGAAAGTAGGAGATAACCTGCTGGAACATGGGGAACAATGGGCCCCGAGCAGAGGAAACTGTACCTGCAAAATCCATAGTGAGCAGGTATGTGGAGACACCATCCAGTGTGGGCGAACCTCGGGGATGAGTCAGTGGGTACCATTGCAGAGACCCAAGTTCTGTCTCTAAGCTTCTATTGACATGGTACTTCAGGGACTGAAATCTGAGGACAGGACAGCAGGGAACCATGGGACTTGGTGCTACTGTCTTTATTTTCCCTTTGGTTAGTGACATTATAGTGCAAAGAAAAGAAAACACTAGACTTCAGGGTTAAAGAAATGTGTGGTCACTGGCCTTCTAGGAAAACCAGAAAGGGTGGCTGGCCCTCTGGTCCATCACATCCAGTGCGTCTTTCTCTGCAGGTCACACTGCATAAGAGCTCCGGGCAGTCCTGGCTCCTGTGCCCAAAGGTGAGCATAGCTGCCCACAGACAAGTCCCAGGAGACAGGAGGTAGGACCCTCAGGATGGGAGAAGAAGGGGCAAGGGTTCTTTCCATGGAGTGGGGAGAACAAATAGCAGTCACTCCCAACTCATGACCGGTACCCAGAGGTTTACATACTGCAAGTGAAATGTAGATCTTGACCCCTCACAGCTCTCCTTGCCAGGTCTGTCAAAGGAGGTTCCAAGAGATTCTGTGACCCATCCCAGGTCACATAGCAAGTTAACGGCAGAGCCCAAAATGCAAACCCACGTCTTTCATTCTCCCATTATCACATCCTATCAGGGCCCACCCTGATTTCTCTCTCCGCAAAAACAAGGAGGGGAATTGTGGAGGGCCTGCTGACATTAGCCGTAGACCCTGGAGATGTTCTCACCACACCCTCTTCTGTGTGTTTCTTATCTCTCAGACCAGAAATAGGTAACCCTAAAAGCAGGGAGGGGTGGGGGTAGCAGGCCCCTGAGGGGCTCTCAATGAGCCCACCCAAGAAGCCCCAAGAAAATATAAAATGATACAGCTGCTTTGAAAAACAGTTTGGCAGTTCCCCAAAAAGTTAAACATAGAATTACCATAGGACTGAGAAATTCCACTCCTAGGTATATACCCCCAAAGAATTGAAAACATATGTTCCCACAAAAACTTGTACATGAATGTTCGTAGTGGCATGATCATAATAGCAAAAAATGGAAACAACTCAAATGTCCATCAACAGATGACTAGATAAATAAAATGTGGCATATCCACACAGTGGGATAGTACCCTGTCATGAAAAGGAGTGAAGCTTTGATACATGCTCCAACATGGATGAACCTTATATGCTAAGTGAAAGGAGCCAGTCACAGAAGGCCACATATTGTATGATTGCATGAGATGTCCAGAATAGGCAAATCTATAGAGATAGAAGGTAGATTAATGATTGCCAGGGGGTTGGGGAGGGGGAAAATGGGAGGGACCGCTAATTAATGGGTACAGAGTTTTTTATGGGAATGATGGACATGTTCTGGAATTAGATGGTGGTGGTAGTGGTTGTACAACATTGTGAATATAGCAAAACACCACTGAATTGTATATTTTAAAATGGTGAACTTTATCTCAATTAAAAAACAACAACAAAAAACCAGCAGCCCTAAGCCTCAGCCTGCTGGCTGCCCCTGAAGGGATGAGCTGCCCTGGCATACAGCAGCCCTGGCCCCCAGCCGAGGAGCCGGGACTCTGGCCACAGGCACACATGGCCTGTTGGCATCCCTCCCAAGGAGAGACTTAGAGGGTGGGAACGGGGTGAAAGAGAACAGGACTCTGGGTTAAGGAAGGAAAGGGCAGCGTTAGGAATATGGGAATGTCCAGCACAGCCTCCGAGGCCAAGGCAGGATTCACAGGGGAGTCCCTGAGCGGATGGAGTGAGGGCCAGCCTGCACCCGGAGGTTCAGCCAAGGGAGTTTTTTATCCCCGGACTCGGAAAGGTTTAGATTTCTCACCAGAGCCCTTGAGGAAAGAATCACTTATCTCTTCTTTGGGGGCAGTCAAGGGTATGTGTGTGTGTGTGGGGGGGGAAGGGGTGAGTGTGTGGATGTGGGTTTTATGTGAGTGGGTGAGTGTCAGTATGTGAAGCGTGTGACTGTGTGTGGGTGTGTGAGTGGATATTAGTGTGTGTTGAGTGTATGTGTATGTGTGAGGTATGCGATTGTATGCGAGGCATGTGACTGTATGTGTGGGTATGTGAGTGGGTATCAGTGTGCGTAAATGCATGTGAGTATGTGAATGTGTGAGCTGTGCGACTGTAAATCTGTGAGGTGTCTGACTATGAGTGAATGAGATGTGTGGCTGTGTGAATGGTATTATTTATTGTGTGTAAATGAGTGTGAGTGTGTGTTAATGAGTGGTCTGTGATTGTGTGTGTGTGTGTGTGACTAAGTAAGGGTGTGGGTGAGTACGTGGGTGTGTTATACGTGAGTGAACAAACGTGCGTGAGTGTGTATGTGTTGTATGTGAGTCACCGTATGTAGGTGAGTGTGTGATTGTGTGTGGGTGTTTGTGTGCCCTCTTCAGAAAGTAGCAGCCAAGGCCATACCCTGAGAGCCAAGGGGAACAGTCCCCTTCGCCCTCCGGGCTCGCTGGTCCACATCAGACACCTCTACAGTGGCGCCCAGGTGGCAGGAAGCCCCTCCACAGGCAATATTTCAGCTATAAAATCAGTCTGATGGCTCTTCTGACGCTTCTTTTCCTTCCTCGAGGAAAGTTAGACACATCTTACAGGACAGCAGAGCTCATGTGAGTGACACAAACATCCTTAAGACTGGGTATCTGTCCTCCAGGACCCCCTAGTCTATTTGGGGGAAAGTGACAGTCCCAGGAGAAATCCAGGGGGCTGAGAGATCCAGGAGAGAGGCTGTCTGAGCCGGGCGGACACCCGGGCAGGGTGGGGATGGACAGAGATGGGGAAAGGGCTCCAGCTGGGGGAGAGTCCTCAAAAGCCTATTTACTGTGGCTAAGCAGACACTGACCAACTGGCCCATGCTTCTCAGGCATTTATTTCTCTGTGTGCCTAAAAGCATACCCAAAGACATGAAGTCAAGCCTTTTGTCTTCCTCAAGAATGTTAAATGGAGACAGGTGCTACCAAAAACGCTTCTCTACACACTGGGCTCGGACCCACGGCTGGTCTTAAAATAACAGAGTCACAGGTTTCCAAGAAAGTCTCCCATTGCCCCTCGTCTTTCTGAGGAAGGACCCAGATGTGCCCAGGGCACGGCATCGCCCACGGGCCCACAGAAGTTCCAGTGGCAGCCTGATGAGAGGAGTTGCACCCACGTTCCCAGGCCTGAACTCCAACTCCACCCGCTCAGCAGTCTTGGCTTCCCAGGCATCCACCATGGTGGCCGGCGGTTCGACGGGTTCCAGGCCCAGGGCCGTGAGCAGGGCTTCCCCAGGTCTCTCCCCAAATGGAGATTTACGGTCTTTTGATTCAGAAGCAGCCGCACATAAAATGGAGCCCAATGAGCCTTGTCGTTCTTCCCAGCTGCGTTGAAGGGAATGGTGCTGGTCACTATGCGGCCCTGCAGTCCACCCCAGTCCTCGATGCTCTGCCCAGCTCCTCACCCTCCACCCTACACCCCAGGCCTGCAGAGCCCGCTACCTCTCGGCTAGTCCTGGTGCTGTGGCTTCTCTTAGGAGCGCCATGGAAAGCAGCTGGAGTTTCAAAGGAGGCACTCACTGTATGTGGGGACAACTGGTTTTCAGGCATTCCTTCACACTAAGCTCATCCCCGCCAGGGCCCCAGCTGGAGGATGTGGTCACTCATGGCCAGATTCCACCCAGGACCTTCTCAAGTCCTCTTGGCCAAAGCCTTCATAACAAGGTGAAGCCGGACTGTGAAGCTGGACGATGAAGTGGGCCACGGGCCCAGAACCAGCACACATCGCATCCACTGCTTCATTCGCTCAGCCATAGGCCCTGAGGACTGCTGGGGTGCAGGTTCCCGTGCTGGTCACCAGGGCGCAGGGACGGCCCTGCTCTCAGGGGCTTTCACCCTAACAGGTCAGTAGTCAACCTAATGACAATACTGGAGTAAGAGCAACCCTACATCAAGCACCTACGATGTGCCAAGCTCCATGCTGGGATTTTTATACACACTATCACTAATACACACAGCCTCAGAGGTGAGCAAGAATCAATCCCACTTTACAGATTCTAAAATGAGGCTCAGAGACATTAAGTAGCTTGCTTAGGGTCACACAGTAGACAGCACTGGAGACAGGATTTAAAAATGGTCCAATAGACACCACGCTGACCCCAATGCCCTGACACCAGGCAGTCTCCTACAAGTGCTCTAAGAACGTCCTTCCTATAGCTCCCAGGGGTTGAATTCATTTTTAGGTGGGAAGAGATTAACTGCTGCCTTGGCAGAGAAATGGCCTTGCAAAGCAATGCTGAGGCCCCTCAGAGGCCTCTTGAGTTCCAACAACCACCGTTTGGAGGGGGGGGACTCAAGTAGCTTTTCTGGCGGCCAACTACAGCCAGTTATAGTAGCCCCTAAAATCCATTGAGGTTTCTCTGCAGGTATAGTAGGTCTACATGGCCCAGTCCTATTTTACAGATGAGAAGACTGAAGCCAGGCATTGAGAGGTTAAGGCCAGAAGTTACCTAAAAACAACCCCGGAGGTATAGACAGAAGCAGAGCTTGGGGCCCTGCCCACAGCCTACCTTCATTGTAAAGGTCCCCGTCAGGCTCTGTCCACTTCTGCTGAATGACTTCCCGGCGGTACACCACGTGTGTCCTCCCGCTGGCCTCCTTCTCCTGCTGGCCCCGCTCCAGGGGCTCAATGAAGTAGTCGGTGTTGTCTGTACGGATGAGGCCCGCCTGAACCAGGGGTGCCGAGAGCAGGAGGAAAGGGGGAGAGAGAAGAGGCATGAATACACAGCACAGTACAGGTAAGCATTTATGAATGCACATGTGTGTGTCCACATGTATGTGACCACATATATGCAGGCTCTTCTTCCAGGACCTCGGGGAGCTCTGAGGTCCAGCAGGCAACTGGGAGGGGGGTGTAAGGAGGCTGTGCAAGGGGGCCCCTGCCCATTTCAAGCAAAGCAGACCCACTTTTACTGTGTGGTGCACTCATGGGGCTCCACATAACGTTTCATGTAAACAAACGGTTCCAGTGCTTAAAAGGGGGTAGGATGGGGGAGACACTGCCGTGAGGACTATGCACACACACCAGGGCACCATATCCACTCCAAAACACTACCACTATCACGTGGTTTTGCCTTTATCTGCAGGCAGAAAAGAGGGGAATATCCTATCAGTAAAGCTTAATTATCTCAAAGGTGGGAACTGGTACCCCCATGCCAGCACAAAGTGCTATTATTTCAGATTTAAAGTATGTGTGTGTGCAAGCCAGAGAGAGCAGCTGTTTGCTGATGATAAACAAGTCAGAATAGTGCCCCAGGAGTGTGTGCTCTGTTTTTAATCTAATTTTTTGCCTGCATCAAAATATTACCTTAAAAAAATCAGGTGTTGGCCTTGGAAATAAAAGCATATAACCTTGGCCAAGTCCAACCAAGATATTATTAAGCCCCAATGGAGGTATTAATCCCAGGGGCAATGAAATCTAGAGCTAGATGTGTGTGGATATATGTGCAGCTGCACACAAACCACCCTTTCCCCCGGGCACACACGTCAGCTCTATAAAGTAGTAAGACCAGCCCACCTACCAGGGTGCCTGGAAAATAGTAGGCAATCCTTAATAAATATACATTTGTTGAATTCCTTTACTCCTTCAACAAATATCTATTAAGTTCCTACTGCATACCAACACTGCTCCAGACACTGGCAATATAGCTGTGAACACAAAGCAGTGAATGAAGGAACCATTTTTATAAATCCGTTAGATCTTCCCTGTCCAAACAGAAGCCACGTCTTTTTAAGGCAGCCACTTTATGAAACTAAACCCCACCAATCTTCCCATCTCATCCTGTTTTGAGATTATTTCTTAGGGAACCCCCTCCAAGACCTACTGAGCACTCACCACTGGGCCTCCCAGCAGCATTCAATCTTTTTCACGTCCCTTCCAGCTAGATCTGTTGATCACATGGCAAACAACATTTTGGACCAAAACCAAGATGGCTGCCTCCTGTGCCTCATGAACAGACCCAATTAGGAGGCCAAAAACGTTCCAGGGAAAAATAGTAAGTAGTATTAGACTGTAATAAGTTTGGGGCTTCCCAAAGTCACCATTTTATAAAACGATACTCAATTGTCTGCAAAAGTTCAGGTCTGCTTATTAAAATGTCCATATCAGACCTTATGTTGTACACAACACCTTTTGGTCAAAGCACTTTTACCCTTTTACTTTTGCACCTGTTATGTGCCCAGGGCAGGGAGAAACAGATAAATAAGGCACAGCCTTTGGCTGTGAGTTGCTCATAGTCTGGAGGGAGGGGCCCACAGAGGAACCGAGAGGGTAGCCACACATGGTGTGCTCTGTACTATGGTACAGGGTATACCTGAAGGATGGATATCAGTTGCAATGGGCAAACACTCTCTTGATACCAAGGGGAATATATTGGCCCATGACAAACTATGGCAGGGGCAGGCGCTGGAAGTGAGGAATTGTTAGGGTGGCAGAAGAGGCCCACCTGCGCCAGAAAGGGCATGCCAGGCAGGGGCCTGGGCAAGGATGTGGAAGCCAGAAAGGCACTGTGAGGACCCGAGAGGCATTCAGGCTCACGGGCAGAGGCTGAGCCTGCACCTGGACAAGTGATGGCCAAACCAAAGGGCCTCTGCACTACAGCCCAGCAGAGCCCCCAGGGAAAGCTTTCTTCCAGGGAACACAAGGGCTGTGAGACGGGAAGGCCAGGGCATTTTGCCCCAAAGCTACTGCAGTTCTGCTGCCATCAGAGCTTGTGAGGGGACCCTCAGTCAAGTCCCATGTCTATCCCATTCCTTTTTCCGTACCCCTCTCTCATACCCAGGGGGACTGTTCCTGCCCCATTCAAGACGAAGCAAAGCAAGAGGCCCTCACAGCACAAGTCAGAAGGCGTGTGCTTCATCCAGGCCAAAGTCATACAAACCTAGGCTCGCCACGGACTGCAGCCTTCGCTGTCTCTGCCCATCACACCTCTGGAAGCAGCCTGGCAGGACAGTTCTCCAGTCCAGGGGCAAAAGACCCTCCTCAGCCATCCTCGCATACTGAGCCATCTCACACAGCCCTCTCCGATTCGGAGACTTGGTTAACCAACTGCCAAAGAGGATTCTTCAAAATCTGGCATTCCCTGTCTCATTGCCCGGTGACTTGATGTGACCACCAGATCTCAGTGTCTCACATGAGGGATGCAGGTTCCAGAATGATCTGCACAGCACAGGGCTGGGATGCAAGGCACTGCCTTCCAGCCCACCCACCCCTCCCTGCCCACAATCACGGACCATGCAGACCTCCCAAGATCACCATGTCTATCCCAGTCTGAGGCTTTAATACCTTGATAACATCCCCAGTTAGGGAACCCCTAACTTTTGCTTGGATGCCTCGAGTGACAGACAGCTCCCTCCCTCAAGATAGAACCTATTTTGTGTAGGGACATTTGTAATAATTTATTGAGCTGAAACACTCTTCCCTACATTCCACCCTTTATAAACAGTCTTATTATCACTGATATTAATAACAATATCTGCCACTTATATTTACATATCTTATTTCATCTTCACAACAACCCTAAGAGGTAGCCACAAATATTAGACCTATTTCATGGATGAGGAAACAGAGGCTCAGCATGGTTAAGTAACTTGCCCCATGTCATCCAGCAGGTAAGTGACCACACTAGAACAAGAGCCCAGCTTAGACTTAACCACTAGACTACATTGCCTCTGGCCATGCCCAGGCCCTGCTTCTGCCCTTGGGCGCCACTTGGAGCAAGGAAACTCTCCTTTCATAGTCCCATTTGCAGATCCCTGGGCCTGTGGTCTGGTCTGACCTTGCAGACAGAGCAAGCAGGATGCTCACGTCCCACCTCTGGGCAAAATGCTCGCATGGAAAGAAGCCAGTCTCCCTCCCACCATGGTGTGAAAACGAGGGGAAGTTTCAGCACAGAGCCCTGAAAAGAGCAGAGCCCTGCCACTCCCCAGATGACCAGCCCCCAGCCTGAAAGGATTCTCACCCCACACACCATGCTTATCCCACCCTCAGCCCTCCTCCACCAGTTGTGGAAGTCCCAGGATTCCTGAATCTGGTCCAGTCCTCACGCCCACAGGCCTCTCTCCAGGGAAGAGTTAAAGAACCCTATTTCCCTACCCCAGTTAACTGTTTAGGGCAAAGACTCAAGCTCCATAATATGCAACCTGGCAAATAAGTTTCAAGCCTCTTTGTGACTGCAGGTCACACCAGCCCCTACCCTGGGATCAAGGACAGAACTTCACCAATGACTTTCCTTGTCCGTTTTGTGCATCATGTCTGGCCTTCACAGGCAGTGCTTGTTCAGGCCGGGGCACCCCCTCAGCCACTGAGACCCTCCTCCTGGAGGAGGAATGGGAAGGCAGGCTCAGCCATCAGAGCAGGGGGCAAGCTGGACAGCCCCTCCCACGCAGCCCTCGGTCACCCCCTCTGCCTGTAATCCCCTCCAGCTCTACCCTGGCCAGGAAACCAGGCCCCCCGCACGGGGCAGACAGACTGCCAACGGGAGCTTTCTGGTTCTCTGCCTCCTCTCCAAATTACTCCCGTCTCTCAATTTATGAGATGTTTATGTTTCTGAAAAGCGGTAGCTCATTTTAAAGCTCTAAAATCAAATCAGATTTCTGTATAAGAATTCAAGAAAAAGGGGGAACATAAGTTCTGGTCAGCTAGAAAAGAAATGTTAGCCTTATCTGCTTTCACCCTAACTTTATTCTTTTGGAAACAATAAATAAGTTAGGAAATATATAGTAGAAAGATTCTTCAGGCACTAAAAACAACAACAAAAATAGCTGACCACATCCAACTGAGCCACATACTATATAGGCCCTCATGCGATTACTCCAAATGGAAACTCTCCAATGGGCAGGCCTGGCCCCCTCAGCCGAGCTCTAGACCCTTTCAAACAACTGCTTTTGAGAGGCCTTTCCTGGAAAATGAGTGGCTGATGGGAGAACCTGTTTGACTTTTCCAATATGGCTATGACATTGTTTGGGTTGCAAAGGTGATGCCTTCTGTGACTTTTTCATGCAGAGGCCTCCAGGTCTTGCTAACAGCTTTCTAGTCCAGCTTCTCCGGGTATAATTCCAGTCCAGAGTGTAATTCCAAGGCAAATGAAGGAATCAGGGTCATGTGGTGACAGGGGAGGTGGGTGCTGGCTTAGAAACCACCTTGTGTCCTGCCGTGGGTCATAAGTGAGCCAGTTCAGTTGGTCACTGGTAACTATTATCAGGGTGAGGCCCCAAATATTTTAGCAGATATTGAAGCCATACTTTTTTGGAATTAGTAAGTATGTGTGCATGTGTGTGTATAAAAATGTTTATTCTAAAATTGCATGTATTTGCATGTAAATTGGGAGGCGAGGGTATAATGAGTCAACAAGAAGAGATCCCCAAAGACTGGAACATGTGTCGTTGAACAGTATAGACATCCAGGCTTGGACAAGGGTAGGGCCCCATCTGTGCTGAGTCAGATGCAGAGACAATGGGCAAGGACTCAGCCTGGGGTCCAGGCAGGAGCAAATAGCTTGGCTCTGAGAGGACAGCTGCAGGCCATCTGGGAGAGGGGGATCCTGAACCTCCTTGCTGTGCCCTCCGATTCACCAACTTTTGTCAAATGCCCAGAAGGAAGGAGCATTTCAATATGGCGGCTCCAGTGGAGCCAGCTGAGGGGTAGGCCAGGTCTCGTCTTCCTTCTC